ATCCACGGTTCTGCATCTCAGGATTCAACCAATCTTGGATCATGCAGTACAATTTACTATTGAACAAAAATCCACATATAAGTGGATCCAAGCAGTTCAAATCTGTCGTGTTCAAGGGTCAATTCTATTTGCTTAATACAGAATCCTAAGTAGCCCACAATGTCCCTTACTTTAACAACTCAAACTACAAAAGGACCACAGCCTGACTTCTAGGACCCCTGTCATCATCCCCCTGGCTCAGTCCCAGCAGTCTTCTTTCCAAACCTGGCTCCGCATCCTCTGAGGAGATAGCTCTCACTACTATCTCTATGTTACCTCAGGGCTTGAACATGCTCTTACACAGTCCATCCTCAGCATCCCCTGGAGTAACCATCTGCTTATAAAACTACCTCCACCTCAAGACAGAGAGCTCATGAGGGTCTCATTACCATGAGGCTTTAACCACAAGCAAAGTGTCTTGAAGCCATGAGTCAGAGACCAAGGACTCAGTGAGACAGCTTCAAGTAAAGGCCCTTCGTGTCATCTTCCCTCTTGTCCCATTCCCACCATGGCAAGCTGAGGACTCCCCAAAGGACACAACAAGGATTGACAATCAAATGTCCGCAGAGGGCAAATAGGAAATGTAAATAAGTAGGGCAGCTCAAGGGAAACCTATGGCACTCTTCACCTACCTGATGTTTTCCAGAACACAGGTTTATGAAATCTTTCCTTTTCTTAAATCTGCATGATGACAAATGGCAATTAATATATCCCGGGAACTGGAGAAAATTCCTAACTTTAAAGAGGGGGTGCCACTTCTTGAGAAAAGAGCCGCTGTGGGTGTCACTCAGATTGCTGGCTCCTCCCATTGTCCCAAAAAAGCAAGAGAGCTTGATTTTTACATGAAATTTCTACAAGTGCTGGCAACTAACTTAAGCAATAAGTTAACGTTTCTATAATCATACTGCCATCTCTTTTTCTGTAATTGTTGCCTACTAAGTGTAAACTCTGTGAAGGCAGAAATTGGCCTTGCTCCACTCTCTCCAACGCCTAAGAAGTGTCTGGAACGTAGCAACAGATGCTCAAACATTTACCTGTTCAACAAATGAGTAAATGAGAAATAAATAAAACAGGCTAATAGCTAATAAAATTTGAAATCAGCCATGTCCCTGGAAATGTTTATTTGGTTCCTAAAACAGTGACATTCAACAGACCCCTTTGGGTTGAAGCTAAAGTGATCCTTTCAAAATATTAGATCGCATGCTTCCTTTGCTCAAAACCTTCTCATGGCTTCATCTCACTCAGTTAAGGACAAATTCCTCACCACAGCCTTTAAGATTCGACAAGATCTGGCTCCTGTTACTTCTATGTTGCACTCACTGTGATCCAGCCAAACTGAACTTCTTGTCACTTTCTGACCACCACAGACATGCTCCCAACTTTGCACTTGCAGTTCCCCATTACTGGAACACCCTTCTTCCACATGACATGACTCACTCACTCACCTCACAAATCTTTTTCCAAATGTCACCCTCCCAGACTCACCATGATCACCCTACTCAAAGTGCAACCAGCACTCCCTATTCGCCTTCTCTACTCCTCTCCAGAGTGCCTTCTAGCTAACTAAATGATTTACTTCTCAGTTTTGTTTGTTTACCTTCACCAGAGCAAAGAAAGATTCTAAAAATCTGTTTTGTTTACTGGCGTAGCCCAAGGATAAAGAAGTGCGTCTAGCATGTAGTAGACGCTAGAAGTATATTTCTGGAATGACTGAGCACACCAAAATATAAAAACTAATAGTGAGTTCTTACTATATGCCAAGTCCTTCAAACACATCACTTGTTATCTCACTGGACATGGAACATCCCGGGTCTCCAGCACCTGAGCCTCTGCTTGACTTGGGCTTGCCTACTTCCCTATCTCTCGCGACAACCTGGAAGCTCCCAGAGGCCAGAGCTCCTTCTGATCCCCGCTAAGCTCCCACATGGGCCATTCGGCCCTGGTCCTGTCCCCAGGCGCAATGCCTCCCCCAGCGTCCCAGCCACAGACCTCGGCCTCCTCGCCGTCACTGCTGCGCTCGCTGTCCTCCTCCTCGGAGAAATTGCTGTCTTCGCTGTCCGACATCTTCTGCTCGCAGGAAAAGACGGCGGCCTCAGCGCTTCCCCCAGTTCCGAGCCCCACCCCGAGCCTCAGTTTCCCCTCGGGTTCCCGGGGAGAAGAAAAACCCCTCAGCGCACTTCCGGCAGCCTCGTTCCGGCAACCGTGATCCCGAAATGGGACCACCCCCGGACACACGCCACCCCCTATACCTCCCGAGTCCCCTAATCCGGTCTCTACACCTCCTTGGCCCCCGGCGACTCCCGGGCCTGCCACCACGGCCTCCTACCCAACCACTCACCTTTCAGGTGCCACCTCCGCCTTCGGCACCAGCTGCTGTTCACACGACGCCTGGCTGAGACTGACGTGCTCTCCCGCGAGAACCTACCACTTGCCCCCCCCCCTAACGCGAGATTTCTGGGACTCATCCCCGGTGACGCACTTCCAGGACGCCATCTTGAGAGTGGCAGAGTGGTCTTAAAGTAGAGCGTGGAGCTGACATCTTGGGATGGTCAAATCGGAGTGTTATAACACCCTGGGATCGGCCTTTTCTAGCCAGAAATAAGTGCTTGCTTGAATTTAGTCCAGATCACTAACGTGGTGTGCCAAGCCGTGAGGAAGCAAAGGATTAGCAAATAATAACAAATTTGCAAATAAATCAGACTTTATCTCACAGCCTCTGAAACATTCCTAGGAGGTAGATACCCCTACTTCGCAGACAAGGTAACCGAAGCTCAAAAATAAACTATGTAACTACGAAGTGACAAACCTAAGACTCCTCCCCAAGTTAGGTAAGCCCAAAGCCCTTGTTTTCCTTAGCAATCTCCCTAAATTGACTGAAATGTGAATTTACATAGTAGTAATTATTTGTCAGAGAGATGGCAAAGACAACCAAGTATGATGAGGTAGAGATATGAAAAATTAACCTGATGGAGGAAAAAATAATCGAAGCTTTTAGAACACATTGCTAAAATTTCCCACATAAGCATTGAGACATCCGGATTCAATTTACAGAAATTTAATATACATCTAGTTAGTTAAAAGGGAATGAGTTGCTATTGGACTGGCAGCAGGTTCATAAGACATGTAGTCCATGGAGTGAGTATACATCACAGGTGCATCTCTGCATAAGCATATAGTCTCCCCTCCAACCCCAAAATGAACCCAAGACAGATTGGGGAGGGGCTGCACACAAAATAGAAATGTTTCCCCGGGAATTCCCTGGCCTTCCAATGGTTAAGACTCTGCAGGGGGCATGGGTTCCATCCTTGGCTGGGGAACTAAGATCCCACATGCCACAGGGTGAGGCCAAAAAAAAAAAAAGTTTCCCTTTCTATAAGCTTAGTTCTTTTAAACAGCAGTTCTTTAAAATAGGAGTCCACGTAAAAATGCCTATTGACACTTCTGCAGGAAGACATTTACTCCAGGAAGGAGCAGGAACTGTCATTTTCTCCCTGTGGAAAGCTCTTCTTTGGTGTATCAGTGGTTCTCAACTCTCAACCTGGCAGCACATCAGAATAGTTGAGAAGATAAGAGAGAGATGTATAATAGCCCCAAACTGGAAACAACCCAATGTCCATCATGAGGACAATGGATAAACAAGTTGCAGTACATACATGCAATGGAATAATCACAAGCTATTGATACACATATGAATGAATCTGAAAAACATTAGCTGAGTGAAAGAAGCGAGACACCAGGATATGTACAGTATTATTCCATTCGTATGAAATTCTAGAGCAGGCGAAATTAATCTATACAAACAGAAAGCAGATTAGTGGGTGTCTAGGACTAGAGATGGAGACTGATTGGGAAGAGGCATAAAGGAATGTTTTGGGGTGATGGAAATGTGGTGGTATATATCCATTCCTCAGAACTCATTGAAATGTACACTTAAAATGTATGTAGGGGCTTCCCTGGTGGCGCAGTGCTTAAGAATCCACCTGCCAGGGCTTCCCTGGTGGCGCAGTGGTTGAGAATCCGCCTGCCGATGCAGGGGATACGGGTTCGTGACCCGGTCCGGGAAGATCCCACATGCCGCGGAGCGGCTGGGCCCATAAGCCATGGCCGCTGAGCCTGTGCGTTCGGAGCCTGTGCTCCGCAACAGGAGAGGCCACAACAGTGAAAGGCCCGCGTACCACAAAAAAAAAAAAGAATCCACCTGCCAATGCAGGCGACACGGGTTTAAGCCCTGGCCCGGGAAGGTTCCACATGCCGCGGAGCACCTAAGCCCATGCACCACAACTACTGAGCCTGCGCTCTAGAGCCCGCGAGCCACAACTACTGAGCCGGCGTGCCACAACTACCGAAGCCTGCATGCATAGAGCCCGTGCTTGGCAACAAGAGAAGCCACCACAATGAGAAGCCCGCGCACCTCAGTGAAGAGTAGCCCCCCGCTCACCGCAACTAGAGAAAGCCCGCACGCAGCAACAAAGACCCAACGCAGCCAAAACTAAATAAATGAATAAATAAATTTATATTTTTAAAAATGTATGTAAATTATGTCTCAAAGTTGATTTTAAAAATATAAATGTTCAGCAAATATCGTATATTAACGCATATATGTAGAACCTAGAAAAATCGTACAGGTGAACTGGTTTGCAGGGCAGAAATAGAGACACAGATGTAGAGAACAAACGTATGGACACCAAGGGGGAAAGCGGCAGGGGGTGGTGGGAGCGGTGGGATTGGGATTGACATATATACACTAATATGTATAAAATAGATAACTAATAAGAACCTGCTGTATAAAAAAATAAATAAAATTCAAAAACTCAAAAAATACATATATAGATGTTCAATATTCACCAGAGACCAATTGTCAAATTCTCTGGGCTGGGACCTGGCCATCAGCATCACTTAAAAGTTTTTCAGGTGGTGACTATTTGCAGCCAGGAATGTGAGCTACAAGACTCTTCCTGTCCTCAAGGGATGGGGATGAGTTTGGAGGACAGGTGTGCAATTCTCGGTCCCTTCCTGGAAGAGGAGAGCGGAGGGAGTATCTGAAAGAGAGAGAGAACAACGGGGACAGGTGTGGGCAATTTATCCAACCCTCTGCCCCAGTAGGTCAGAGACTTCAGGCTTCAAATCTCACCTTATTTTTTACCTTCTCTCCTCTTCCCCTGGCTTCTGGGGCTCCAGGTGAGGTCCTCTGGCCTAGAAGGAGAAGGGTTGGGGTTTGGGAACTGGGGCTGAAGACCGAATCTCCTCTCCCTCTCTCCACGCGGCCTCTCCGGGAGTACCAGGGAGTCTGTATCCTCCCAGGTTTGTGCTGAGGGCAGATGCTGAGCACAAACTCCCTGTAATAACTCCAAGAGTTTGGCCAGAAAAAGATGGACAGGTCTCTGAGGGTATCCTCCACAGGGTGGACAAGGGCCCCAGCCAGTCACCCACAGCCAGGACCCGAGGGCATCCAATAGGTGCTGTAGCCGGAACACAGCAGTCTCCATGGATGGGCCCTCCTCAAACCCAATCACAGACAGCTCCAGCCAGAAGCAGCCTAGAGCCTCAGCAGGACACACCTGTGGGGACAGAATGATCTGGTGTCTCTGGGCAAGGGCTGATCCCAAGTCCTCACCCCCACAATTTCTGACTTGTGGCCTGGGACAAGCCCCTTCACCTCTCTGAGCCTCAGTTTCCTGATCTGTAAAGTGGAGCTCTGAATAATCCCTACCTGCTACCTTCACTGGAAGTGCACCTGTGTAAGTTAGAAAAAGACACTCCTTCCTAAAAGTACTTCTAAGTGCTGATTTTGTTAGAACAAGATACTTTACTGCTGTCTGCTGGAAATTGACAAATATATCCAGGATGAGAATACTGTCCATGTAGATGTGGGATTCTTGTGCAGTGTACACCTTCACATCCATACATGATGGCCTTGTTTACCTCATAGGGTCAGTGTGAAGAATAATTAAGCTAATATACTGACGAGTACCTGGCACAGGGTAAGCACTATATGAGAATAGCTGTAATCATCACCATCATCCTTTGTTGTGATTATGTGCCAGTCACTGTAGTAGGTGTTGGAGACAGCAGTGAATAAAATATATTTGTTGGATGTCTCTGGTGGTGCAGTGGTTAAGAATCCGCCTGCCAATGAAGGGGACACGGGTTTGAGCCCTGGTCTGGGAAGATCCCACATGCCATGGAGCAACTAAGCCCATGCGCCACAACTACTGAGCCCAAGTGCCACAGCCACTAAAGCCTACAGGCCTAGAGCCAGTGCTCTACATCAAGAGAAGCCACCGCAATGAGAAGCCCGCGCTCTGCAACGAAGAGTAGCCCCAGCTCCCTGCAACTAGAGAAAGCCTGTGCGCAGCAATGAAGACACAACGCAGCCATATATATTTGTCAAGGCTGGGGTGGGTCAGGAGCTGGACAGCCAGAATACCAGCCTGCCTGTCTCCTGGCCTTAACATGTGCATGTTCTGAGCCTAGTGGGTTCTCCCTAAACTTTCAACTTCAGTAAGGAGCTAATGAGATACCCACCAAAAGATCATCTGCGGTGTAAAGAGTGCCATCATTTTTGCTTCCCTACAATGGTGAGGTAGGGAGTAAAATCAGATTTTGGGTGGGGGGAGAGACTGACCTTTCCTCAAACATGCCCCCCACCCACTTCCTAACTAGCCTGCCCCTGTCTGCTGGCTCTTCCCTCCCTCCTCACCAGCAACTTCATGATGGCAATGAGGAAGTAGAAAGTCTCCCTTGGGCAGAAGGGTGGTCCTAGGCCTCCCAAGGGCAGTACCAGCAGGAGGATGGTCCAGAGAGGCCACATGGGCACCCTGCCCACCGCCAGACTTTCTCTGGTTCCGGCCTGGGGTCCTGGAAACAAGAGGTACAGAGAGTGGGAGCAAGTTGGAAAACTGGAATAGGTGAGGGGAATTGCCCCCTTTCCCTCCCTTCCAGTTTTACTCAATTCACAGATACCCAGGAAATGTACTCCAAGAGGCTGGAGGAGATGGTGACCCTAGAGTAGGGAGGACCTAGGTCAGGGGACTCCCAGACCCCCTTCTTTCCCCCGACCCAAGATACCAGACTTAGCAAGGCTACGAGGATCACTGTGGAGAGACTGGAGAGTTTGGAAGCTTCCCCTGCCCCCCGCCAACAGGCCCATAAGGCCAGTGTGTGAAAGTGTGTGCATTCTGTGGCCTGTCTTCTCACTGGAAAACACCAGCGTTAGGCTTTATCTGTGTCTGCAGGTGCATATTTGGGAGTCTCTGCTCTGCTTTCTACTTCTATTTCTGTTGAAAGTGTCTTGGAATCTTCGTGCCTGCCTGTACCTGCCGGTGTTCTTTCTCTGAGGGTTGGCCTCTCTGCCTCTGGATCTCTGTCACTTGTGTCTCCTGGCTCTCTTTGACTGACCTGATGTCTCTCTTCTTTTTCCTCTCCTCTGTTGGTCCCGTCTTTGCCTTCTCCTCCATGTGTGCCTGTCTCTCTCTTGTGCTGTGTATCTGTCCGTGGGTCCCTCCAAGTCAGCCTCTGGGTCTTCCCTTCCTCTCTCCCCGGGGCCTGGCTCCTCTCCCTCTCTTACCCTTTAGGAGCTGGATTCTGAGCTGCAGGATCCTCCCTCCGGCCCCTGACCTGCCCATCAATCTCCACCCTGTCTTGGACCCTCCAGGAACAGGTGAGCCACCACACCCCTTTGCACTTTGGACTCCAGACCCAGTGCTGCCAGAGAAACTGAGGCAACGGTGGGCTCCCTGCAGCCCTGAGAGGGAGCTCTGGGCTAGGAAGGGAGCATCCTGAGTGGTGGGGAGCCAGGGAGCTACCCAATCCTGAGGTTCCTCAGATGGGCTGGGGGGACTGGGGATAGAGCAGTGGTCCCCAACCTTTTTGGCACCAGGGACCATTTTCGTGGAAGACAATTTTTCCAAGGACCGGGGGTGGGGGTGAGGATGGTTTCGGGATGATTCAAGTGCATTACATTTATTGTTAATTTTATTTCTATTATTATTACATCAGCTCCACCTCAGATCACCCGGCGTTAGATCCTGAGGGTTGGGGACCCCTGGGATAGAGACTTCTGTGTGGGAGGGGCCTAGAGAGGAGGGTGATTTGGGGGGGTCCGGAGAAAGACGGTTCTCAGATAGAGACTGAAGAGTAGAATTTTGGAGGGTCTCCAAGGAGTGGGGGATTCTAGTGGGAAGGCAAATTTCAGGGGAGACAATTGCTGGGGAGAGGAGGCTCTGAAGGAAAACAAATTCTTGGGAAAGGTAGATTTTGAGGGCGGGGTCTCTGAAAGTGATGATTTTGGGGGACAGTTGCGGGAAAAGCGGATTGGGGGAGAAGGAGCTTCTGAAGAAGGGGGATTCTAGGGTTCGTGGGTCTGAGGAGAGAAAGATTCTGGGGAGAATTATGGCGGGTGGAAAGGGTCCTGAGTGGAGGGAGATTCAGGGAAAGAAGGAGTCTAGTGTGAGGATTCTGAGGAGGGGGTTTTGGGAGAAGACCTCTTAGAGAAAAATTCTGGCAGGAGGAGACTCTAAAAGAAAGGAATTTCTGGTGAAAGCCAGACTCTGGGGTAGGGGCCTCTAAGAGGAAAAGGATTCTGGGGGGACTCTCTGAGGAGGTGGGTTCTAGGACGTAGGGGGAGTCTGAATCCTGCCAGGTTTCTCGGAAGGGAACTCTAGAGGGGAAGAAGATTGCCGATGATGAAGCAGTAACACAAACCTCCTTCGAAAAGGGTGATAATTAGTTGCGTATGGGAGCGGAGGGAGGTTATTAAAGAGCCTAAATGCAAATGAGAACTGGCGGTGATCAAGGAAGACCAAGGATGTGAATTACGTCTTGTCCGCGCCCTTCTCTGTCAGCCCCCGACACCCTTCAAGCCCCGCCCCTTCTGCTCCCGGGGCCCGCCCCCTCCGCTCTCTGGACCCACCTTCCCGCCGCCAATCCAAAGCCCCGCCCACTAGCCGTAAAGCTCCCTCCTGTCGCGAAGGTGAGCAGAACGCGCCTGCGCAGACCCTGAAAAGCAGCCAGGTTGGGCCCGGATTTTCCTTTTCCGGTTGCGGCGCCGCACGGTGAGGAGCTCCTCTGAACGCTCGCAGCCATGCCGTCCAAGGGCCCTCTGCAGTCGGTGCAGGTCTTCGGACGCAAGGTAAGCCGGGCTCCCGATGGTAGGGGCGAGGGGAGGCCTGGGTCGGGGAGAGGCTTGTGGGCAGGGGTCTGGGGTCGACTTGGGAGCCGGGGCCCGGAGCTCACGTGGCTCCGTTGTTTTCTCTTCGTTTTCCGCAGAAGACGGCCACGGCCGTGGCGCACTGCAAACGAGGTAACGGCCTCATCAAGGTGAACGGGCGACCCCTGGAGATGATCGAACCTCGCACGCTGCAGTACAAGGTGCCGGAATTAAGCATGGTTGTCTGGGTTGAGTGGAGGGTTCTGGAGATGGAGATGTTGGAGTAAGTGGGTTCCTGGAGTTCGTCGATCTTGGAAGCTGAAGGGTCTGGTGTCAACAATGGGACGTTTAGAAGCTGAGTAGGGGACAGAAAAATGGGATATTTGTCGATGAATGGAGTCGGGTGTTGGGGGTTCAAGCGATGTTACAAAAGCTTGAATTGAGAGTGAAAATGTGGATGTTGAAGATTAAGCAGGTGCTTAACTGGGTTATTTGGAGGCTCACTCAGTTTTGTGGACCGGATGGCATGGGGATTGCCCAAGTTTATGTGGTCTGATTTCTTGCAATAAGTTAATGGGGGACATAAGGTTGTTTATATCTTTATGTTTTGATTTTTAGGGTAGTATACACTCTCAGACAACAGGAATCAATGTTTTGTTCTTCTAAACATTGTGATTAAAGTAGGGTTTGAATATTGTACATACTTAATAAGCATTATAAGAACAAGAATTTGAGTCTGTTCTGCTTGGCTGTGAAAGGAGTTCCTCTCCCTGTCTGAGCCTCAGTTTCTTTCTTTTTTTTTTCCCCTGAATAAAGTTTTATTGGAAGGTCTCAGTTTCTTTGGCTCAGAATGGAAAGAGATCCGAGTTTGATTTCTGCCGTTTCTAGCTGTGTGATTTGAGGCAGTAACTTACCTTTTGTGTAAAATAGGAATAATTTCTACCTTGGAGGACTGTTGTGAGGGTAAATTGGATTCTCCTTGTGAGGTGGTTGGTGTATGTGAGAACGCATTTGTTAAGTCTATTGCTTTTAAAGGTGAAGAAAAACATCTCCGTTGCAGGGTTAGTTAAAACTTAATAAGGTGGTGTCTGAGATTCCTTTGCATAGCAGGTAATTGAGTATTGTGGCTTATTCTTACTGTCAGTTTACTCGAAGGCTTTGTGTGTGCAGCCTGTTTTGAGAGCTGGAGACAAATCAGTGACCCTCATGGCTTCAGGGCCTGCCGTCACAGAGCTCCCAATCCAGTGGGGGAGACACATTGGACCCCAATACCAGACACTGCTCCAAAGTAGTCAGAGCTGGCGTAGAGAAGCCCAGAGAAGGTTTCTGGCTCAAACCTGGGTGGAAGCGTCAGAGCAGGGTTGGGGGAGACTTGTGAGCTGAGGCCTGAAGTAGGTAAAACAAAGTAGGGTTATAGCACAGTTGTAATTTTTCTGGAAATCTGTGAGGCTCAAAGGGAGGGCACAGAGCTCAGGTGGGGAAAGCACGTGACATAGCTCAGGAGTGGCTTTTCACTGTTTGGGGCAGCCTTGGTGGCTGCAGAGGTGTTCCTTAGTGTTGGGCTAAAGTGCCAGCATTCTAAGAATCAATCTTAAAGATAGGCAATCAGATGTCCAGGGGGAAACACAGAGGAGGGAGCCCACCTCAAGTTTCAGCTTGCCTTCAGCAATCTCTTCTGTCTTGGAAACCCCCCTGCTCTGCAGGCTGGGCAGAGTGCCTCGAGTAACAGCCCAACCCTCTTCCACTAATACTTTGAGGCCAGTGGTGGCCAAAGCTACTTGGAGAGAGTTGTGGAGGAATGTTTAGTGAGGTGGCTTGGCTGCCCAGGTTGTGATCTAAAATCCTGTCATGCTTCCTGTTGCTCTAGCTACTGGAACCTGTTCTGCTTCTGGGCAAGGAGCGATTTGCTGGTGTTGACATCCGTGTCCGAGTGAAGGGTGGTGGTCACGTAGCTCAGATTTATGGTGAGTCCCAGGAACTGGGCACATGGGTGGAAGGTGGGTCCTACCCTTGGGCGTTCCTAAAGCTGATGTACCTTTTGTGTGTGTGTGTTTCTTTCTCACAGCAATCCGCCAGTCCATCTCCAAAGCCTTGGTGGCCTATTACCAGAAATGTGAGTGAGGGTGGGTCCTTCCCATCAGGTGGGTGGGGGCAGGTCAAGGTCTAGCTCTGGCACTCTTGCATTTAGTCACAAAGAGCAGGAGGACACTTCCTGGCATATCTAAATCTTCACCCCTACTTTAATCCCCAGACGTGGATGAGGCTTCCAAGAAGGAGATCAAAGACATCCTCATCCAGTATGACCGGACCCTGCTGGTAGCAGATCCCCGTCGCTGCGAATCCAAAAAGTTTGGAGGTCCTGGTGCCCGTGCTCGCTACCAGAAATCCTACCGATAAGCCCATCGTAAAGATCAGGGTTCAACTTTATAATAAAAATGTTACGGGATTTAAGGTTTCAAGGACTATGCTGTGGTCTTCTGTGGTGGTCTTTGTCTAAAAGGAATGCAAGAGATGCCCCAGAAGCCTTTCTAGAGGCTACCACTTGTGGTAGGAGATGGGTTGGGTTGGAGAGGCTGGTGGGAGCAGACCTGGTGTCAGTTTCTGTGCACCTCCAGTAGAGTCCAGTGTGTTGGCACAGCTGAGGTGGGCGTGGTTCTAGGTCATTGGTTGTGTGGGGTATCCTTGTGAGTTTATTTTTTTCCCCAATCTTTTTGCTGTTGTTTTATTTTTAAATTTATTTTAAAATATTTATTTATTTATGTGGCTGTGCCGGGTCTTAGTTGCGGCATGTGGGATCTAGTTCCCTGACCAGGGATCAAACCCAGGCCCCTTGCCTTGGGAATGTGGAGTGTTGGCCACTGTGCCACCAGGGAAGTCTCTTTGCTGTTGTTTTAATGACATGTCAGAGAAGAGCAGGGGAAATGTGTAAGATCAATAATCTTTACTACAAAGTGAGGAGAAACTGCCTGGATGGAGTCTTTAAGTCAGCAACTAAGAGCCATCCATGCCTGTGTTGGGAAAGGAATTTTCCTTAATGCCAACCTGTAGTGTAGCTAGGATTGAGATTGGGGCAGGGGTCTGTAACCACCCCATTGTGGATGGGTGCATGATTTCCCCCTGATTGGCCACATCCTTCAGGATGTCAACAGCAACTCCTGAGAAAGTCTGCCATACCCCCATGGTCTCCTTAAAGCAGGTCCCAGTTATGCTCAGTGTGGTGACTGTCCTTATGGGCCTGGGAACACATAGGTCTGAGGACTTGTTCATCTGTTGTGTCTGCCGTGGGATGATAATAGCTGACATAGGTGGGCTCTCAGTTGCTACCACTGGGCTGCAGAGGTGATAGAGCATTTCCATCACGGGAGAAAGCTCTGTGGGGTGGCCCTGGTATATGTATAGGGAAGCACCGTTTGTGAATTCAGTTGCCTTCGGTTTCTTTCCCCATTTTTAAAGGAAGCTAGTGAACATCAGTGGGGTGGGGAGGGCATCTGGGCTTCCATACCAGCCTTTGCAGCCAACCTGGATACTTAAGCGATCTGCCCCCAAGTGGGCTTCCTCACTACTCCCCCTGCTGAGTACTGGCAAGAACATCATTACACACTTAATCAAGGAGTAGTTTCACAAATTTTCTTTATGAAAGGACCTTGGGATTTACTGACTAGTTGCCCTTTTTGTATGTCTGCCCTACCAAAACCGTAGCCACATGTGGCCACCAAGCTGGGCTGCACTGATGAGAACATTGTCACTGACAGGAAAATTCTGTGGGACAGCACTGGTGTACAGAGGAAACACACAAATAAAGTGCTTCTTACAGATGGAGAGTGGGGCTGATTGAGCTCCAACTGGTTGCCAGCCTAAGTGTTTACAACATCCCTGTGAGGTTGGTGACAGGCAGGTGTCTTCGTGTTAGCTGGTGAGAAAGTTAGCCTAGTGGCTAAATAACTACCTCCCCAAGTTTTGCACTGGAGCTGGAGTTAACTCGGGTTTAACTGGGTTTGGCTGGCATTAACCTAAACATCCCAAGGAGGGCAACAGTGTCCCAAAGAAGGCAGTGGACAGCTGCCCTTTCCCTTTTCAAGCCTGTCTTGCAGCTCTAAAGACAGTTTACAAAAGGCAGGCTGTAGTAGACCAGCAAGAAAGGTATTCCTGAGGAGGCGTTGGAGCTGGGGTCATGAAGCAGAGGTAGGAGTCGGGCAGGCAGGAGGAATGGAATTCAGGGGCAGGGAGTAGGAGGGCCGGAGGCAGGCCTAGTGCCCAGGGTTTTCCCACGGGGACCAGAGACCCTCTTACTGAGACTCTTAGCCCCCTCCCAGAGGCACAGCTGGGATGCATCGAGTGGCTGAGGGGGCTTGCCTCTCCTTCCACACTCCAAGCCTTGGAGTAGACAGCCTCCTTCCTCCCTGCTGCCTCCTCAAATACCAGGAATTCCGGCACCGCTGGGAGCCCAGGCCAGGCTGGGAACTTTCTTTCAGCTGGGAATGTGCAGCCGGGGGCGGAAGAGGGGAGGGCCAGCCTCGGTCCTGACCTTTGTCGGGAGGCTGCAGCGGAGCAGGTCCAGGCCAAAAAGCCGACTCAGCCTAGGCCCTGGTGTATGGCATGGTAACCACTCAATAACTGAATAGAAGCCAGCAGCTAACGCTTATTGAGCCAGGACTTATTCAGTTTACCCAGCTAATGACCAATTACCTAGGGCCTTTGGAGCACCAGGCTGCAAGCCCCTTGTGGGCAAGGAATTATTCCCTGTTTTGTCCCCAGTGACAAGAATAGCGCCTGACACACTCAAGTAAAAGTGCTGACGGGCCTGGCAGTGTGGATGAGTCCCAGCTCTGCTCCTTCCCATTTGTTTGGGCAAGTCCGTTATCCTCTCTGTGCCTCAGTTTCCTCATCTCTAAAGTGGGGGGTAAAAATCATCCTCACTTGCCTTTTAGGGATGTTGTGAGGACTCAAAGTTCAAATAAAGTGACTAATGCCTGTGGTATGCAGTTAGTACTCAATAACAGCATTTTTTGTTGTTGCCGTTAATTGATTGTTAAAACCAGATTCTTAGGCTCCTGCCTTGGAGGTTCTTCTCATTTCATGGGTTGGGACTAGATCCTGGGGCATCTGATTTGAACACTGCCTCGGTGAGTCAGGCTTAAATACATTTGGGAAGTAAGGATATGCTCACTGAAACTTTACAATGATCCTGCGAGGCAGATATTGCTGTCCTCGTTGTGCAGATGAGGAAACCCAGGCTCGGAAGGAAGTTAACACACCAAGTACTAGAAAAGCTGGGACTTCAACTCAGCCATGATGCTGTGGTGTCTCAGAGAATTCCAGGGAAGACTAAATAGATGATGCACTAAAACACAAGAGGTTAACTGTTCAATAAAAGCAGCTAATATGACCAAAGAAACTGCTTAAATTGTGCTTCTCACTGAGCATACCACTGCTGGGAGGACAGAACGATCTTAATATAAAAGGCTTTGTCCCTAAGACCTGAATTACTTTGGGGTGTGGGGGCATGTTGAGGCACTGTAGAGGTCCCCAACTAGAGAGAGGGGGAAAAGAGATCTGATACAAGAATTCGATGGGTGGGTACAAGAACTGGAATACTTAGGAGGGTGGAGAGTGGTTGCCAAGAGAAATAAGGCAGATGTGGGACACTTCTGCCAGAACCCCAAACCTGATCCATTTTGGCATTAGCAGGGAACTTGTCTCCGAAATTTTGTAGTACCAAGACCCAGAAGAATCCAATTAAGGAGGGATGGATGTAAAGAGATTAAAATGGTTGGATGGATGGTGGTAGAGATGGTTAAATGGACGGTTGGCTTGATGGATTAGGAGATGGTTGAGTGATGAGATGTATGAATGAATGGACATCGATGGGAATATGGAGGCACAAATGGATGAATGGAGAGAGTTGGTTGGAGATGGACAGGTGGGATGATAGATGAGTGGATTGACGGAGGAACGGGTGCTAGATGGGGGGTGGGGCAGGATGATGGATGAATAGGGTAGAGAAAGTTGAATAAAGCAAGACATATGGGTGGGATGATGGATTGGATGACGGATGGACAGAGGGAGATGACGGAGAGATAGCTGGGTGGATAGAATTGGCTAAGTAGATGAGAGGAATAGATGATGGTGGGACACATCAACTGCATAAACTGCTAAGGGAATGAATTTTGAGGGATCTGCTTGGGAAAAAGCTACTTAACTTGGCCTTCCTGGATAGGCATCAAGCAGTTCATAAACCCTCTAAAATCACACACCAAACTGTAATGGGTCCAGTCTTCAGTAATTCTCAAAGGAGTTTGAGATTCCCCAAATTTTCAGAACGAATGATTTGTGCTGTATCAGACCTTCCCATTCATTGTCTTCTGTCATCCCCCATAGCCCCCAGAATGGGGAAAGATACATAATTTCATAATATTAACAAAATATTAATGACATCCCCTTCCCCATCCCTGTTGGGTTAATCCAGGTTAAGTAATAAGGCCCATTCGCCAAAGACTCCGGGTGTTGGAAAGCTGTGGCAATTTTTAGACCTGTGTTCAGCGTCTGGACTTCCGGGTGAATCTGAGGGTCTGTGGCATCTGGCTGAAGTCTCTGCTTTTCAAGAAGCGCGACATCCTGGCTCACATGTGGAAAGGGGCATCGGGGGCCCCCTGGGCTCTGCGAAGGCCCACTGACTCCTGGGGGGTTGCCAAGAGAGCAGGGTGGTTCAACCTGACCTGGGCCTTGGCTGGCTGTAGCCGCCCGCCACCCCCGACATGGATGTTGACCGTGGTGGCATAGCTGAGCCTCCTGGCTGGGGGCGCTGGGGGTTGAGGCTGGGGTGGCGGTGAAGGTGCCCGTGACGTGGGGGCGGAGGAGGACCAAGGGCCCCGGGTGGCTGGGGGAGCCTCTCCTCCAGGCCCTTGCCGCCGCGCCAGGCTCTGGCTGATGTATGAGGCTGCCAGGTATCTTGAGAGGGCAGCTGCGTTGGAGCCCAGGAGCTGCCGGGTTGCGAGTCGGGGACTGTGGGGTGGGCTCAAGTCTGAAGACTCTGACCTGGCAACGTGAGAGACTGCGTGGCCTCCTTGTTTAGACAAAACCACCGTGGTCTGGACTCGGGTGGGTAACAGGCCCTGAATGTCCCGAGGGCCTCCTCGCTCAGGCAAAGGTGGGGCAGCTGGAACATGGTCGTTGGTGAGGCTCTTCTGCTCCAACAAAGGTGTCAGTTTCTGAACCTGGAGGTCTGTGAGGCTTTGCTCCTTAAGCAGAGGCGCAGCAGCTGGACCCTGGATGTCCGGGAGGCCTCCCTGCTGGGGCAAAGGTGGGAGGGCTTGGACCTGGGTGTCCGTGAGGCCTTGTGGCTGCGGGAAAGGTGTGGCAGCTGGAACCTGAAAGTGTGGGAGGTCCTGGGGTAAGGACGGCAGAGTGTTGGCTGGGGTCTGATGGTCTAGGTGGCCTCCATGTGCAGGCAAAGGTGAGGT